TGGGTTCAAGCAATTCTCCTGCCTCAGCCTCCTGAGTAGCTGGGATTACAGGCATGCGCCACCATGCCCAGCTAATTTTTTGTATTTTTTAGTAGAGACGGGGTTTCACCATGTTGACCAGGATGGTCTCGATCTCTTGACCTCGTGATCCACCCGCCTCGGCCTCCCAAAGTGCTGGGATTACAGGCTTGAGCCACTGTGCCCGGCCTGTTTCTTTAGTCCTAACCTCAACTTTCTACTCTGGTGTTTCCAACTGTGTATTGAATACTGCTACTTGGATATGCTCCCCATTACTTTAAAACCAATATATTCAAAATAGAACTAATTTATTATCCTCTAAAAACACCTCCATTTCTGACGTACTCTTTCAGTAGGACCACAATTTTCTCAGTTACTGAGGTTAAAAATCTAGGCTGAGCAGGGCAACTCAAACCTGTAATCCCAGCACTTTGGGAGACCGAGGAAGGCAGAGAGAGAGCACTGAAGGTGGGGAGTTTGAGACCAGTCTGGCCAACACTGGGAAACCCTGTCTCTACTAAAAATACAAAAAATTAGCTGGGTGTGACGGTGCGCACCTGTAATTCCAGCTACTCTAGAGGCTGAGGCATGAGACCGTCTTGAACCCGGGAGGTGGAGGTTGTAGTGAGCCAAGATGATACCACTGCATTCCAGCCTGGGCAACAGAGACCCTGTCTCAAAAAAAAAAAAAAAAAAAAATCTAGAAGTCATTTTGGAGTTTTCTTTCCTTTATTCTTACCCAATTAAAAGCCAACTCTATCCAAAATACTTCTAAAATTCCTGGTCTAGTCCCTTAGTTCATGCCTGGAACACGTCAACAGTTTCCTTAACTTTAAAACTTAAACCTGTTGCATATTTTTCTTGCCTGACACTGCTTTTCCTCAACATTCACTAGTTTCTCAAATGTCCTCTTAGAGGCCCAAAAATCTCTTCCTAGTTCCAATGCAACTCCTTAGCTTCTCCCTCCTGGCCTGGAACACGCCACCGTTTCCTAGCTGACCTCCTTGCTTCCGGCACTGCCCCGCTCCAAGCACACCCTTCACATTGTATTAAGCACAAATGGAATGTTCCCCTGCTTTAACCCCACAGTAACTTCTCATCACCCCATCAAAGTCGGCACACATCCTTAAAGCTGACCCCTTCGTCTCTTACTACTTTCTCCCTCCGCCACCTCAAATCCTCTCTACAGCTGTGATACGGACTTTCTCGCAGTTCCTGTGATGTCCCTTGCTCTCTTACCTATGACAATGCCACTCATATTTTGGTGTATACTTCCCTTTGTTTAACTTGTTTGGGCCCTTCAGATCTCCTCCAGGAAGTCTGCCCTAGCTGCCCCAGGCTAGGTACTTCTCTCCTTTGCACTTCTAGAGTTCTAAAGCAGTTTTTTTAATACTTATCTCCGGCCGGGCGCGGTGGCTCACGCGTGTAATCCCAGCACTTTGGGAGGCCGAGGCGGGTGGATCACGAGGTCAAGAGATCGAGACCATCCTGGTCAACATGGTGAAACCCCGTCTCTATTAAAACTACAAAAAATTAGCTGGGCATGGTGGCACGTGCCTGTAATCCCAGCTACTCAGGAGGCTGAGGCAGGAGAATTGCCTGAACCCAGGAGGCGGAGGTTGCGGTGAGCCGAGATCGCGCCATTGCACTCCAGCCTGGGTAACAAGAGCGAAACTCCGCCTCAAAAAAAAAAAAAAAAATACTTATCTCCATCATCGCCCATGCCTCCATTATAGTTTTTTATCTCTATCACTAATTCTAGTCCCTAATAAAAGGTCAATAATTATCTGTTAGAATAAAAAAGAGATCAAAAAATGATTTCGTTTTGAGTAACTCAAAGCATGGTGGTACTATTCTCAAAGTAAGGTGGTACTATTCAATAAGATGAGGAAAATTGGAAGCCTCAGAACAGGCAACTGAAGATAAGAGATGAACAATTCCATCTGGCGTACTGCTTAAAACACTTGTGGTCATGGCAGCTTTATTCCTCTAGCTCAAAACTGAAACTTACATTTCCATTAACAGGAGAAATTCTGTGGTATTTTCACATAATGGAATATTACACTTGGCCAAAAAAAAGGAAAGAAAGTCAGAAAGAACTAATCATACATCATGGATAACTCTCAATAACACTGTTGAGCAAAAAAAGCCAAACCCAAAAGGAACATAATATGTGATTCTGTGACTTCCACTGCTAAGAAGTTGACAGACACATCTGTTGTGATAAACATCAGAAAAGTGATTGCCTGGAATGGGTGGGGCTTGACCGGAAAGGGGCAAGAGGAAACTTTCTGGGATGATGGCAATCTTTATCTTGATTTAGGTGATAGTCACACAGGTGTATCCAGCTATCAGAATACACTAGCTGTATATTTAATACTTACACATTTTACTATATGTAAATTTTATCTCAACAAAGTATTGTAAAGATGCTCATCTCATGTCCAGGTGGAGGTATCTTAATAGGCATTTTGGAGACTAATGAAACCCAGAACAATGGTATAGCTCCTACCACTATTACTCGCCTAGAATGCCCTTTCTCTTCAATTCAACTCAGAAATCACATGGTGAGGAAAGGGATGATAAAGTAATTTAACTTGAGATTTTAAATTCAGAATTTATACTTCCAAATAAGTGATATTCCTTTCAAAGAAATGTATTACAGAAACAGCAGAAAAGGTTTGAACAAGTTTATCTATCTTGGAAAGTTATGAACTTATTCAACCAACGGTACTGTTGCTCTAAATGGCTCTTAACTCCCTCCAGAGCCCGTGACCAGTCTAATAAATTAGCTTTAAATTAGGGATTTAACAGCCTTTAGCAAACCCTGTTAAATAGCTAATTCCAAATCTATTTCCAAC